ATATGTTGGAATCAATGAAACTCTCTGGGGAACTGGCTGTTCCCCTTTCAAATGCCACCTCCCTAATCTCTCCACTTGCTCATGTCAGATTCTTCAAAGCTCTGAACACGACACGAGGCTGGCATGATTAGGAAAGGCAAAGGAAGAATGCTCTCTATAAATCATGGGTGGGGGCAAACGGCATCAAATTCATGGACAGTTGACAAATATCAGAATTGAGGGATACTGCTTAGAACTATAATTGTTTGCTCTAACCATGAGGAGAAAAACAAAGCTTCTGAATATTTATTAATGGCCTACCGTATGCTGGGCACCGGCTCAGGATGCCTGCCTTACAAGACCTTGAAGACTACAAAGGGAGAAAGTCACAACAGCAAAAAGTGATTGTACGTCCAAAGACCAGGGTCATTATCTCAGACTAAGCACAATAGAAAAACACTAGCCTGAGGATTTTCAGCGTGTTTGCAGACAGATAATACAGCATGTCAGGGGTTGTGAAAAACAGCTCTGGAACTGACGAAGGTGTGTGAGGTCGATAATCAAGACAGACTGACTTATATTCACAAAGAGCCCTGGTCACTAGAGGCCAGCAAGAGAAAACACTCTGCCCCAGAAGTGGTGTTCTTACCAGTCTTCTCAATTCTCAAGTAGGTGCCATAGAAAGCTTATCTTTCCCTCACAAGTAATGTCAAAAGCATTCTAGATCAGTACACATGATTCTTTTTAATGGCCATGGAGTATTTTGTTACATGGATTTGCCATAATTTATTGAACCAGTTCCACACTGGTGAGCATGTAGGTTGCCTCCAATACTTTGCCACTACAAATTAATATGCCAACTCTTTAATAAGTGAGGTCCACTATTATTCTTTATTTAACATGGGGAATCAAAAAAGGTATTCTCATAAGTGAAATGGTAGATTAAAAAGAGAAAGAGGGCCGGCCCCGTGGCTTAGCGGTTAAGTGCGTGCGCTCCGATGCAGGCGGCCCGGGTTCGGATCCCGGGTGCGCACAGACGCACTGCTTCTCCGGCCACGCTGAGGCTGCGTCCCACATACAGCAACTAGAAGAGTGTGCAACTATGACATACAACTATCACCTGGGGCTTTGGGGGAAAAATAAATAAATAAAAAATTTAAAAAAAAAAATAAATAAAAAAAAAAGAGAAAGAAATGCTGGAAGTCAACAGGTCCTTAAATCTGGAAAGATCTCTTCCTTGTGCTGGGAAGGAGAGCCTGTATCTGCTTGGGTAGGCTTTGGAAAGCAGCACAGCCAGCCTGCAGAAGTCTGCATAAGGGAAAGCCTGTTATCACTCTATGTCATCTATTCATATATTTGAATAGTGGATAATATCAGTCCCTTGGAGCTGGAGTATGCATGTTAATAGCCGAAAAGCATTAAGAAAAAACAGTAGAAGAAATTTTGCTTTGTATTCTCTCAAATTACTACTTATTGTACAATTAAACCTTCAACAAAACTATAATAAATTCATGAAACAAAGAGATTCATGTTCAGACTCAGTAAATACTTGTGGGCCTATGACTAGCCAGGAGATGCTAGGTGCATGTCATATAATCTTCATGATAAGGAAAGTATTAACCTCCATTTATAGGTGAGGAAAGTGAGGTTTAGAGAGATTGAATTCTTTGGGTAGGTACCATATGCTGCTAGCAAATTTCAGGGTTGAAATCTGCACCTAAATTTCTTGCCATTTCCAAATTACCATCGTGTCAACTGTCTTATGGTTGATGATTCCCGGCTACAATACTAGACCAGCATTTCATTATATTAAACGGGAGGCCTCTAGAACTAGTGCCAATTACATTGTAGAAATAAGAAGAAAGTCTAAAACTAAATACTAAATTCAGTGTTGATTTGGGTGGGTGGGTGTGTAAAATAGACAATGTGGAAAAATGTCATCATACTTCATTTTATTTCATTGGAAGAATTTTAAAATAAATACCACATTTTTACGGAACTGGAAACACAACCACATTCATTATTTAAAACATAGTGAAAGCAAAGAAAATATGCATACATGCTTTAAATATATTAATTATATTTTGGCAGGAATTCTGAGTAAAACCAGAAATTAAGAGAGAAAACAATCCAAAAGGATGACAAGTGATAAAATGGCACTAAAACAATTTTTATTAAAGAATCACCAGAAGACTATGCAGTAAGTATAGCCTCCCTCTAATGACAGCTGCTTCTGCTGCTTTCAATTTGTGGGCAGTTTTAAAATATAGCATTTTATTTTGAAAAATTGCTTTAAGATGCACAGATGCCTGAGAAATAGGTGTTGGTGTAATATGGCATAAAAAATATCCTCCATCAGTTGAGCCTCCGTTCCATACTACACAGTGCCTGCATGTTCCTGTATGTCCATGCCTTCTATCAATCAAGAGTAAAGACAGTCTAAATAGAACAGTGGAGAGATGTCAACTGGAAGTGAGGAGGGCCTGGGTTCCTCTCCCTCCTTGGCTGGTTATTAGCCATGTAACCTTTACTTCTCGAAGTTTCCTCATTTATAAGACTGAGGATAACAGCCTTGGTTATGAAGCCCACGTAAGATGAATGTATGAGAAAACACTTTTAAAAATGTGAGGTTTACATATAAATGTGAGGATATATGATTTGGCTCAAAGAGGTAGATGCTGCTATTTACAAGACACTGGTGTCCAAGGCTAAGAACTGATATCTTTTAGGTGATCTCAGCAGCTACTGAGATAAGGGATCAAGTGCCCTGGATTTAAAAAATGCATCTGGGCCTCAAATATCCTCATCAGAGGCACACTCTGAATTCTAGAAAGATGAAGTGACTTGGCTAAGGTCACAAAGATGATCAAGACGAGAATCTAGGTTTTCTGACTCCCAACCAGTGCTCTATCCCATGACCACAGGGCCTACCCCCTTTTTCAGAGTACTGATATCACTATCGTCACATGAAAGGAGATTTTACCAGTGTACTCCATAAAATATATATTTTTTTCTTTTTAACTTATCATTTAGGTAGAGATCTCTAGCCTTTTTTTTTTTTTTTGAGACAATGTACTTCTCTGAGAGAGTGGCTTTGATCGAAGATGGTTGAGGATTGTGCTAAACCTGAAAATAGCCTTAAGAGTTCTGTATGAGGAGGTGGTGAGGGAGGTAGGAGGGAAGAAGACCGATTTGATGTTGTACTTGTATCAAGCTCCATTTCCATGGTTCTAAACCATTTAGAAGGGAAGTAATCAATCATTTAGTGGCCCCAACATGCCCTTTATCCCTTCAGATATGCTCACTCCTAATATAGTGGAGCTCTGTCTAAGTACGTCAAACAAGAAACTGTTAGCCTGAAAGATCAGTGATTGTAAACATCCAATTGATGACCCCTATTCTAAAACACACCAGTGCTCCATTCATAAAATGGTTATTCTAGTGGTTACTCAGCAAAGTATTACTTAGGTCAATCAACCATATTTATTTAAGGCCTATGGACTCCAAGTATACTCACCTGTAGTATCCATCTCCAGGATTATTAATATAAAAGAGATTAAGGATTATAACACAAATGATAAAAAAACGCATGGATGAGAGATCAGGTTTAAACTACTACTTATACTTTACCGGTGAACTATGAGCCATGACAGACTGCTTCTCAAATCATGAAAGAAAAATCATTAAAATAAATTCTTAGACAACTTTGGGACATCCTGATATAAAATGGTGGAGAAAGAAAGAAAAGACACAATCTAGTGGGGGCAGGGAGAATCAGAAATAGGTCCAGTGACACAAAAGCCTCTGTGACTTGAGGATGCTACCTTTTCTCACTAGTGAAATGGGAGTTATAAAACTTGTCCTACCCAGTTCACAGAGATGTAAGGTCAAAATGAGGGAACACACATGAAATTATGTTGGAACGTAGTGTTAGGAATGCAGATTATAAATTCTGTACAACTGGATTAAAGCCTGTAGTGAGCCGAATGCTGTAACATAAATATAGAAATGCTTTCCAAAAAAATCTATTTGCCAAAGAGGGAAAAAACTGTTAAAACAATTCTAAAGCTACTTTTCAACAAGATGGTGATATTTGGAAGCATTTCTATAATCCAAGCAAACATTATATTGTTTGACAAACACACATGCCACTTTGGTCTTGGGCATTCTTTGATCAACTACTTAAAACCAGTCTTGTAGGTCTCCTCCCTTATATTTGAGCTTTATTCATGTTTTATAATACATTACACAATAAACTTTGAAATAGAATAAACATTCTTGTAACTTTTTAATGTTTGAAAATATTTCCATGTTTTCTTAGAAAAGTTATGGAAAATTTTTTTTTTTTTCAAAATTTTAAATCAGAATCTCTTTAGACTAATTCAGGGCTCTGATGTATAGTTTTAGAGGTTTCATTTTGGGAAAAGATGTTTCTACATGTAATAGATATATATGCATCAATAAATTATGATTCATGTTATAGAACCTATGTGTATAAACAAATTTAGCACTTCCTTAATAAGTGAGATTTTAATTTCTTATTATGCTGTGTTTGTGATTTTATTCCTTTTTTTAATCACATCTTAATGTGACATTTTCTTCTTCAAAATAATGAGACTGGGAACTATCCTACACTCTGGGGACTGCAAACACATATCCTATGATTATGATACTTGTTGGCATAAGGCTTTACATTTTTCCAAAAAGAACCACACAAAGAATCTTCCAACAGCGTGAAGCAGAGAAGGACACATCAGCTGAAACTGCTAGGAGTCAGCCAGAACACAGGCTTTTGGTTCCCAGATCCGGGCTTTTCCCATTAAATGACAGTTTTTCTCTCTCTGATTCACTGTTAAATATTCAAAACCAAAATATCCTTAAAAGACAAGGGAGAAATTTTCCACCATTCAACAGGGGTCTCTAAACTTTGAGGGGGGAGAAATCCCTCCTGGGGAGTGATGAAGACGACTCTTGAACTTAGGGGTCAACTTGAATGGCATATAGGCGCCCAGTACTCTTACCGTCCAGGTGGCCGACTTGGCTGTGCTGGACTGCTGGAAGGACACGTCAAAGCTGTGCGGGCCTGGGTAGTCGGTGTTGGAGGGGATGGCGGGCGACGGCGAGAGGGCGTCGAAGGTGGAGCTGGGCTGCGCGTAGGGTGAGGGCGCCGTGACGCTGTTCTGCGCGTGGTCTGTGTTGTAGGGGCTGGTGGACGAGGAGCCGTTCTGAATTTGCTGGTCCATGCTGTTCAGGAGCCCCAGGTTCGTGTACTGTGGCTGCAGGACATCCAGAAATCCTGATGTTAGCCATTTAAACTGCAGATCATTGCTCCAATAAAGGCATCATTTGGTCCATGCATTCTACAGTGTTCGACCTCAGGTCATTCAAGGTAAAATGAGCAATTTGTGACACACAGAAACACCAAGAAAAGTCTGAGGACTGTGTGTGTTGTGTAATGACCCACACAGATCACACAGCTCTCATGTGCAGCCTTTGGAGACTGTGGTCTCTAAAAGAGCATTTGAAAGTAGAATATGTGCTTATTCATAAACTGGGCAAAAAAAGTGCCCAATGCTCAGTAGCTGCTTAGGAATTCTTTAAATAAATGAACACCACCAGCTATTTCTTATTGATTTTCTTCTGCCATGGTCTTCAGAATGAGAAAGACCATTAGAAGGGATTTAAGCATTAAATTATTGTAGATGGGGCAAAATCAGATGACTTTCAAATTTCCTTTTAGTCTTATAATTTTATATTCTGCCTCAGGGTATCAAGAGTTCCCCGTAAAGGACTAGTTTCATAAAGACTGGCGGGGCATGGGTAGCAAAATTAGGGACAACCAACTATATATTATAAAGGGTAACATGCTAGCGTATCATCCAAACACAGCCTAATTTTTTTGTTTTTTTCATTTTCTTTGTAGCAGTTTATTCTTTTCTAAAGTAGGACATGTATAAGAGAAATACCATCTAGTTATGATTAAAATTCTATATTTGATATAATTCAGAAGTACGTTAGCTCATGGAGCTCCTCTGCCAGATGCCTCATGTCTTCTATGCAAATGAGCCTGAGCACAGAGTAGGTACTCATTAAGATGTTCAAGGAAAGAATGAATTAATTTCTTCTTATTTAATCTGCAAAACAACTTTACTGTATTACTATCAGAGAGAGGAAGTGATTTGCTCAAGCATTGGCTAATAAGCAAAGAGTGGGGATTTTGAAACCAAATCTTCTGATTCCGAGTCCAGGGCTCTGCCCACGCCATCACACCTGTCAGCCTGATCAGATAATTTAAGTCATTCCTAAACCTGAGTCCAACTGGACACGTTTCCCAAAGGGGCAACCAGCCTACGGTACAGTTTTCCCCTTGTGAAACCTTCTGACACATGGAAATCTCATTGTTTCTTCAAGTTAGTGAAGGGAAAAAAAATCAAAAGCAGGAAGAGAGAGGCAGTCCTGTTGGTACATATTTTATAAAGGAAATGAGGAGCCTGGCTCTTCAATTGAAACAGAACTCAGAGAGTTCCAGTCTAAGTAAAACTATGGAGAAGAAGAAACTCACAAAGAAATAGACACTTGAAAAATTTTTTAATTAAACTTTGTTTAATAAAATTATTTTATTAAACTTTAATTATTTCACATGGGGAGGAGAAATGGACTCTGCCATTCCATTCAGTCCAGAGAGCATCTGTCTAAATGTTAACGGTCGCATGCCCATTCCATTACATTTATACATTCGCATTCCACTGCCGAATGCCACGTCCCCATTTGCTCTTTAAATAGCTATTAATCTCTTTACACTTATCCCCATGCTGACAAGAGCAGCTGTTTGTCTCGCCTCCTCTCCCCTCTGACTTCTACAGCTCCTGTTCCTCTCCTATGCTCTGTCTTCAGCGTCCCTTCTTGACAGGTGCTGCGAAACTGCAGGTGAGACAACCAGGGGAGAAAAAAATAAAACCTGAGGCCGGTACAAATGCGTCCACACCCCTGGCTGAATTAAAGCTCTTAGGTATCCAAGCCTGCGGCAACAGCCTGGGAAGGGGATTGAAAAGATATTATTTGTGTTCAAGTTAAGGGTCAGTATACAAAGCACTCCTGAACGTCCTGTAGGAATCAGATAATGCTCCCAGAGGCACGTGCTTCCCTACAGCAGTACAATTAGGGAGGCAGCCGTCCCTGACAAAAAGGACAAAGAAACTTGCCGAGCACTTTCTCACAGGCAGTAAAATGCCTGTTGGGCCACCCCTGTCCTCCTCCTTCTAGCTACACAGAATGGAACTTCAGCTAATTGTGGGCTTGGATAAGAACAAAGAAACGTGGCCCTTTGAATTTGTTTTTTCAATATATATAAAGAGAAGAGTTTTGGGACCTAGCTTTAAAAGCCAGTGAGCAAACACTCAGTGCTTCTTGAAAGACTTAAGAGAAATGGAAACTCCATTTACCTCCGAGGCACAAAGGAGACCCCGAGAATAACAGGAAGACTGAACATATTTGGGTGGCACCAAAGAAGCAGAAACTCTATTCCAAAAGTCTTTAACAGCACTGTGGGTGCTGACAGGTATACTTTTAAACGCCGTAATTTACAATCCATATAGTTCCAGGTAAAATATTTTACTTAACAACAGTAGGATTTGCTTCCAATGCTAATTCCTCAATTTATGTAACATAAAGCTAGATTTCTCAGGTTTGGGCAAAGAGCTGTTTACCATCCATGATAAAAATGGGAAAACATATTTCAATTTAAACTTTTCCCCGATTTTAAAGAAACATAAGCCAAGTAGTATAATCAATTGTCTTAACAAAAAAGCATAAAACTGATACTAATAACTTCAAGTTAATTCACCTAAAATAAACAACAAACCCACCACCAAAGTAAGAATTATATGATTGGAAATCTACGTGGATACTTTTCATAGCTTCATTAAAAATCAATGTCATAAACCTGCCATAGGAAACTGCTTTAGACATTAATTTTAAAAACATTTAGTTAACAACAATAACAAAAAGCCTCTTATTTCTTTGATGTGAAGAGAGAGTGGACGTGGTCCCAGAGTATGATTGGAAGCCAAGGGCAGATCAACATAGCCAAGAAGAACAAGTGTTACATAGACAGGACCAGCAAAATAATTTGCACAGCCCATTGCAAAATGAAAACTCAGGGCCTCTTATTCATAGGTTATTAAGAGTCTCAAAATGGTGATAGCAGAGCATTAAACAAGGCACGAGGCCCTTTGTGACTGCAAACTTTGCATGCCTAAGGAGCTAGCTCTGTATCAGGTTAATGTGAATAATATTTATTCCTTATTTCCCACCAAAGTGAAGCTGGTGGGTTGAAGGGAGCAATACCTGTGTCCCTTCTTTATTGTCAGTAATTCAACAAACACGGGGGAGAAACTTGTGTTATGCTGGAATGCAAATGTAATGCCTATCTACAATGACAAGAAGAGTCTCAGAAGTTAGAACATGACACTTTCATAGCAGTCACAAAAACCGCTCTTGGGAGAACTCTAGGGAGTCTCTTATGTCCCATGTGTTTCTTATGTAACAAAAGCTATTAGAATATTTGAAATGAAATAGGAAGTAGATTGATAACAATAATAATAATTTATGAACGCTTTCTAACCACAAGGTGTTTTGATCTCAGAATAACCTTAACATACTCATGGACACTCAATGAATGAATGAATGAAAAATGTTACATATCTACCGTATCATGTCTGAAAGAGGAGACAGTCTTCTTCCCATAAAATATAAAAGGAGAAAATGAGCACAATTTGTCTCATGTCCACTGTAAGCTTGATAAAGTAAAGCAATTGATTTTCTCTGAATTCAAACAGATGCTTCATTTCCTATAAAATAACTTTGAAATAGGAAAGTCACCTCTTAGAGCCTGGAAAATTACCAACATCCTTAGCTGGAATATATTCAGGTTCATCAGACTAGCTGATCTGACCACAGAAAGGATGAAACACACCTTGGTCACAGAGACTTAACATACTCCGTAAGTTAACTCTGTAATCACAGAACACCCTGGGGGTCTTCTGAAACATGGAGCTAGAGTAATAAGTGTAGGGATACCTAGGGGCTGAATTTCAAACTGCTTGCTTTCACCATTAGGAAAGAACAAGAATAACTACCATTCCCAAACATAGGAAAAGTGTTTTCTTGTTTTTCTTCTCCCATAAGTTCTTTTGCATTCTCATAGCCATCTACAGACTCTGATGTATTTCCTCACCGAACTTCAATTTGGATGCTTAGAATTAAAATAGCTGTATAGAAGATTTGATTTTTCCTGACTGGTCACTGATTTAAAAGTGTCCTATAAATGCAATTCCTTTAGTTTCATTTTATTTTTCTTTCCTGGATTACATTGTTTGATGATCTTAAATTCTGAATATATTATGGGCCTGAATTATCTTCTCATCAGCTCAGAAATAATGTATCTATATATATTGCTGTAAACAAAACTCAGCATTGAATACCTGGGTTTACACTTACTTAAAGTTGAGGATGCAATTAATTTCCTGGAAAAGAATTCCAACCAAGTCATTTGACCAGTACAATGGAACCAGGGACTTAGATATAATTTGTGTTTTTGAAAATCTTGCTCTTTCAGTTTATCTGTATAAAGGAAATTTTATAAGTTGTCTTTCCTAGATATTACTATCTGTAATAGCTAATTTATGGCTACGTGGTGACAATAGCCATCAATATACGGCAAGGATTAATAAAAAATGGGAATGAGAACCAAATCAGGGATAGGAGAGGTTACTGTTGGGATATATAATCATAATTTATTTATCTCGATTTAAATGTTCCCTTGTCACCGGAAACAATAACTTGCCAAAATTTCATTTGGAAGAAAATATATTTATCATCCTTGACTGACTGTTAGATGAGGCTAGGGAATTGAACATTCTTCAGCACTCCTTACATTCCTGAATGCATTCTAGTAATGCAAAAGAACTCCGAACTTAGAATTGGTGATGTGGGGTCTAAGTCCCAACACTGCCACTAATGTGATGTATACCCCTCGATAAGGTACTCGACAACCTGGACCTTAGTTTCCTATAAAGAGGTTGATTCTGATGATCAAACATAAAGGCTGTGCCAGTTCTAACATTCTGGTAGATACGACCATCCTCAACCGTAGAGCTATTTAAAATGTCATGAGATCACTTTCAAAAAGTGAGATAACTGTATTTCCTTTATATGGATTTGCCAGGCCAAACCTAGAAATCGAAAATGTTTCAGACAGCATACACGATTTCCTCAG